GGTGGGAGGTGGCCCCCCCCCCCCGCATGCATTGAAACCACTGAGCTTCCCGATCGCCCAGGGAGCTCATCGCCGTTACCCCTGTGCAGCGGGGAAGCTGGCGCAGAAGGTTCATCTGGCCCACCCCAGCGGGGCAAAGCAGGGCCCAGAATGCAGCCTGGCTGTTCCGTCCCATCCCCTGGCGTGGCATCCGCTGTCCCTGCCGCCTAAGAGCAGCGGGGGAGAGGAGGGGCGGAGAGAGCTACCTGCAGACATGGCGTCGAGCCAGAGCCGCCACCGACTGGCCATTGGGGAATGGCGGCCGCCAGCCCCTAAGCAGCAAGCTGGGACCAGGCAGGTGCGGTGAGGAGCAAGGGGCCCTGCTCTGCACATTCCCGCAGGGGCCCCTGGACTCACCCGTCTGACGCTTGCCTGCAGGGGAGCCCGATCCGTCCCTGGGCGACCACGTCCCGGCTCAGGCCCAGTTCGCGCCCGAGGATCTGCAGCCTCACTTTGAGCACCGGATGGGTCCTGACCACCTGGAGACCTGCTATCTGCTCCTCAGCTTGGACCAGGAGACAGCCTAGCCCCGGCGGAGCCGTGCCCTGCTGGCGGAATGCAAACAAGGTGGCCTGATGGTCAATGCTGAGTTTTCACTCCGTGCTTGGTAGAGACCAGCCAGACCACAGGCCCGTCCAGCCCAGTGCCCTGCTGCCCAGAGCAGCCCGAGGGAGGGAACCCACCAGGGAATCCTCACGCGACCCCTCCCCTGTCGCCCATTCCCAGGTCCAGGGACTCGCCATTGGAGGGCCTTCCTCCACGCGCCCAGAGTAGCGTCAGCACCGCGCCTGCTGGAACCTGCGGGAGGAGAGGTCGGGGCGGGGGAGAAGTTGCTGCAGGAGCTCTGACCAGTGCAAAGCGAGGGCCTCTCTGCTCACATGACAGCTCCATTGGCCTGGGCTTATCTGGCGGCCCAGGCGAGGGGCTGGAGGAAGCAGCACAATAGGAATAAAGGGTTGTGGCGAACGTGAGCAGAATGGCCGGCGCGGAGCCCCGAGGCACATGGCACAAGCAGACGCCTCACTCAGCAGCACTTCCGGGAATCGCCCCAGTCCCTGTCCACATTGTGTCCCAGCCAAAGACCCAGCGACTTCCCAATGCTGCAGGCTCTGGCCACGGCAGCGCTGCCAGACCCCTACCAGCAGGGCCGCCTACGGGGGGAATAAAAGGCAGGTACTCGCAGGGATTGGCAGCTGGTTCTTGCTGGTACCCCGTACCGGCCTGCTTCCACCTCTGGGGCAGGGTGGGGGTCAGAGGCTGTGCCTGGGGGTTGGTCTTTGTCAGTTCACAGGGCCAGGGCCCAACAGGGTTGTACATTCTCTTCAACACAGAGCCGATTAGGGATAATGCACGTTAGCGAGCTCACGCCACTTCCCAGGCTCACTCTAGCAAGCGAAAGCACCACAGGACAATGGCTAAAGGCGTACAAGGCTCTCTGCAGTGCTCGCGTCCCGCTCCGCTCACCTCGCGCCCGGCCGCAGTGGACGTGGCTCCTGCATGGGGGAATCCTGCTCAGCCCTCGAGGTTGGGGGCCCGGTTGAGACTCATCTAGGGGCGGGTCTCCCCGGGATTTGATGTTAGCTGTTTACTGAGTGTGCGTGAGCGGGCCCGATGCCACTGTTAACGTTCCCACGGGGCTGGCTCTCCGCTAGCAAGCATAGGAAGCTGTGGCCAATGAAGGGCGTCTGATAGCTAACACCTGGGGTTTGTGCTTGCAGGCTACGGATACCAGGCTGTGATACAGCTAGGAAACTTCCATCCCTGCTCTCTGAGGCCTGCAGGCAGGCCTGCCAGCACGTCTCATGACAATCTTGCTGCCAGCTCTGCCCAAGAGATCCTTATTAAGGATTAACAGGGAGCAGGAAAATCCTTAGAAAACAAAATCCTGAAACAGCATTGCCAATCCCAAGGGTTCAAACATCAGGAGCCTGGCCCCAAATCATGAGCATTTAAAACAACTTCAGACTCTTTTATCTGGAAGCCCAGACACTTCCCTTTTCAGTGAAAGCCAAGAGTCGCACTTAGTGTCCCAAATTCCAGAGCCTGGTGGGTTAAAAATACCCACCAAATCACAAGCCTTGAGAATGGCCAACAGGAATTTTTGCAAAGCTCCCTGGCCTTGCTATTCTAAGCATGCTCTGTCAGCAACAGGAATGTTTTCAAACTTGACAATGTCCCTTTGAATCTGAGGCCGCTTTGAAGACCATGCCCGGGGTGCGCAGTTACTGCACTTACCATGAAAATAAAGCTACAGTGCAAACAGAGCTATTGATTACTAACCGTATCCATGCCAGCTTTCCCTAAACAAAGTCTGTAAACTGCTTTGCAGGGGAGCCCAGTTAGTCTGTAACAGGAAAACTTAAAAAACAACCAATGGTCTGGTAGCACTTGATAGACTAACAAAACATGTGGATGGGATCACATGGGCACAGCCCACTTCTTCAGATGACCGGAGTGCTGGAAGTCCAGAACCAAGAATAAATAAGGGAAGAGGGGGAGGAGGAAAAAAATTGGAGGGAGGGAGGGAGGGGAGAAGAGGACATTGGATAGATAAGTATCAGAGGGGTCGCTGTGTGAGTCTGAATCTGCAAAAGCGGCGAGCAGTCCTGTGGCACCTCACAGACTAACCGAAATGTTGGAGCGTAAGCTTTCGTGGGCAAAGACCCAGACATGCATCTGCCAAAGAGGGTCTTTGCCCACGAAAGCTTATGCTCCAACACTTCGGTTAGTCTGTGAGGTGCCCCAGGACTCCTCGCTGCTTATTGGGTAGATAAGTTTCACAGGGATCGCAGAGCCAGTCTGTAACAGGAAAACTTAAAAAACAACAAATAGCTAGTAGCACCTTAAAGACTAACTAGTTACCAGCAGTTGGTAAGAGCCATGCGTTTGCACTGGGGAAGGAAGAGGACTAACACCAGATTCTACACAGACATCAAGAACCACTGGCACCTTCATTGTTTGCTGGGCTGATAATGTGCGAGCCATCCAGATATCCCGATTCATACCATTTGCATGAGAGTTAAACTTGTGAAGGAAGTGGGGTTCCAGTCCTCCTCTGTGGATTTGGCTGTAGAATTGGTCTGAAACAAAACAGCAACTTATAGATCCCTTAAGGAGTGTCCAGGGAGGTTGAAGTGTTCCCCGACAGGTTTGTGTGTGTTGCCTTTTTGGAGATCTGATTTGCGTCCGTTAATTCTTCCCCATAGGGACTGCCCAGTTTGTCTAGTATATATCGCAGAGAGGCACTGCTGGCATAGATCACTTTAGTGGATGTGCAGTTAAATGAGCCTCTGACTTGGTGGCTGATGTGCTTGGGGCCAGTGATGAAATCGCAGGTGTAGATGTGTGGGCAGAGTTGGCACCGGGGCTGGTTGCAGGGGTGGGTTCCTGGATGCTTATGATGTAGCGTGGTTCCTGGAAAAGATCTGTTTGAGGTTAGGGGGTTGTCTGTAGGCGAGAATTGGCCTCTAGGAGTGGGGGGTCATTTTCCAGGATAGGGTGTAGATTTTTGATAATGCGTTGGAGGGGTTTAAGCTGGGGACTGTAGGTGGTGACAAGTGGAATTCTGTTGTTTTCTCTTTTGGGCCTGTCTTGAAGTTCATGTCTGGGCACTCTTTTGGCTCTGTGGATCTGTTTTTTCACTTCACCAGGTGGGTATTTTAGTTTTAGGAATCAGGGGTAGCCGTGTTAGTCTGGATCTGTGTGACGGCATGTTGGGGGTCCCCCGTCTCCTGCACCCCGAAATGGCACAAACAGCCTCCCCCAGCCGGTGGAATAGAGGAAGTTTATTGCCTCTCCAGGATACAGCACAGCACAGATATAATCTGGTCACAGAGCTGGGCTAGGATGCCTCAGGCCCCCTTGAGATGGGGGAGACTGGGCCCCTAAACTCCAGCCCCTTTCCCTAGGCTGTCTCCTCCATGCTTCCAGACAGCAACTAACTAACCTCTTCCAGCCCTGCCCCCCAGCCAGGGCAGCATCGACCTTCCTTTGTTCCTCTCCATGGGGGGTGTCTGGCCACTGGTTTGCATAGTGACTCATCCTGTTTTGCTGGGTCGTGGTACCCACGGCAGCCAGTGGGGGTTACCCCAGAGCCAGCAGCATAGAAACCAGCCAGATACCCCCACTACGTCACACTAGGCACGGTCGAGAGCTGTTAACAGAGACAGGTAGCAGGAGAGGCTCAGCCAGAGCCGGGCGAGGGAGTGGCAGAGGCTTTCCTTCCAGGCTGAGCTCCATGTGCAGTTTGGAGAGGGCCAGCAATGGGACAGTGGTGGTGACCTGCAAGGGGGGGCCACGTTCTTTCCCGCCCGACGCCAGACGGGCATTCCCTGTGCAAGCTGGCAGCTGTGCTGGAGAAGATTCATGGACGGAAAGGGTGAGAAGCCGCTGAGAATCAGAGAGGTGCTGAGGAGCTCCTAGCCAGCCAGGCTCAGAAGTTCCCAATAGGAAGGAGCTGGCCATCGAGGAGTCCGAGGGAGGAAAGCAGAGAGGAGGCCTGGCCAGGGAGAGATGTCAGTCACCCTGATCCACAAATGGACGCAAGCTTGCGAGCAAGAGGCACAGGCCATGCGCTCTGGCACCCGCCAGCACCCCACCTGGCAAGCCGGGCAGGCCTGGGAACTGCTCAAAGGTTTCATGATGGTTTCTCTGTAATTAGTTTGTGCTGAATAAAAAGAACTTTGCTCCATGGTACCTGGCTCGTCATCCCTGGCTCGTCACCCTGAGCCAGCAGAGCAGCAGGCGCGGTGCAGAAGCCGGCCCTGCTGAGATTGCCACAGGGAATTGTGGGAGTGTGAAAAGGGGCTTTCTGGGAACTCTGCTGAGAGCGTCAAGTCAGGGTGAATTGCTTCGAGACAGGGCTACCGACAGCCCAGGCCTGGGGCTCCTCCACCCGGAGAAACCCCAACCAGCTACAAAGAGCAGCAATTCCCTTACACACTCCAGTTCTCCTGTGCCGCCACCGGCATCCCTTCCTATCCAGAGGAGAGGTAGGGAAAACAATCTCACCAACAAAAAGGTTCTTTGAATCCCAAGGGACCAGCCCCCGTCCCAGCTCAACTTATAACTCAGAATCTTACCCCAAACGCATGCTGTAGCCAAGCCTTTAGAATCTTAGATAGATAGATAGATAGATAGATAGATAGATAGATAGATAGATAGATAGAGGGGGGGTGAGGGGATAGATAGATAGATAGATAGATAGATAGATAGATAGATAGATAGATAGATAGATAGATAGATAGATAGATGGGGGGTGAGGGGGTAGATAGATAGATAGATAGATAGATAGATAGATAGATAGATAGATAGATAGATAGATAGATAGATAGATAGATAGATAGATAGTAAATTGTTAAAGGAATCAAATACATACACCAATTTCAAAGTTCTTGGTGCTGGTGTCGGCAAGTCTCTGGAATACATCCCCCTTGGATGAACTCCCAGGCCCTCAGACTTGTGGCGGGAATCCCATTGTTCTCGCTGTGCAAAAGTAAATTATCCCAAGATGGAGTTTGAAGTCACATGATCAAGTCCCCTGTCCATGCAGGAGTCAGTTTTTTGCAGGTGGACACCAGGGCCCGCGTTCCAGATTGCGGGTCCATTCAGTGAAGCTGCTGCTTCCCGTGTCAGTGTCTGTCGGGTGTCTCTGGATGGGCCAGTCAGCCTGGGCAGCCGGTACTCGGAGCTGTAAATACGAAAACGGCCCATGCGCAGGCGCAGTATAAACAGAGCCAGCCAATCACACGCTTTCACTAACCACCTCGCGTGGCCCGGGCTGTCCGGGATCTGTCGCAGGCACGGAACAGCAGCTGCGCCCGTGAGCGGTAACCGGTGAGTCCGTCTCCCCGTCCAGTTGAGCAGAGGCCCGAGACCTGACTGGGGAGCCCACGCAAAGGCCCCTGTGAGAGGAGCAGGGTGTGAATGACAAGGGACGGGGATTCGCTCCCTCCGGGGCACCGGGCACTGCTGGCGGCAGGCAGGACGCTGGGCCGGCTGGACCTTTGCTCGGTGCCCGCCTGGCTGTGCTTATAGTAGGCAGTTTCCGCAGTGCCGGGGTGTGCAGGACGGCTATGCCCAGACCGGCCTTGTGTGGGGACCGCTCTGGGCGAGCAGCGTCTCTCTGAAATCCCCGTGCTCCAGCACAGGGGCCTGTGGTGCTGAGCCTGGCATGGCTCAGGGTAAGGCTGGACATTCACCCCTCGCTCCAAAAGGAACAAAGCCCAGTGTGCCGCCAGCTTGGGGCCTCTCCCCGGCGGGCCCCCACCTCCTTGGCTCCGCTCAGAGCACACTGGAATTTCTAGCTCTGGGGACCCAGAGGAGCCTGGGGAATTAGGATCTCTGTAGGCAGGGAAAGCCGAGGAACCACCCCCCACACGCAGCCGCTGTGGAGCCGGGTACTGACGCAGGAGCCTGGGAAGTAGAAGGTTCATCCTAGCGAGCTCCTCCGCTTTAGGAAGACCCCAGTTAACTCAGCAGTGCTGGCGTGTGTGCGCCAGTCAAACCCAACTCCCAAGCTGGGCGAGGAGCAGTAACGGGAAGGTAGAACTCCGGAGGGTAGGGGCGCCCCTACCTCCGACGCCCAGGGGAGCTGCTAAGCAAAGCAGCGTCCCCAGGCTGCGGCTCCCAGACGCTCTGGCTCCCAGGCCTGCAGGGGCCGTGTGTCGCAAGGGGAGCTCGACGACAGGCCCTGCAGGCCGCTACGGCCTGAGCCTGCTCCCGTCAAAGACGGTGGGAGTGGGAGCCGGGTCTCGGAAGCAGCAGGGAGAGCCTGTGCCAGGAAGGGTGGAGAGTAGGAGACAGGAATGACCCGCCAGGCTCTCCAGCAGCTGCTCCCTACGCGGGGGACGGCCCCAGAACCCCCGGCTGGCGGGACAGCCATTGTGAGTGAACACTGCCGGGCGCGGGGCGCGCTGGTTCTAGAATCGCAGCCCAGCGGCGGCAGTTGGGGCCAGTGCGCCGAGGCGGGGGGAGGACGATGGGTCCCAGACGGGGGGTGCTGAAGACGGCCATGGAGCACTATCTCTGCGCCCGCTCCCGGACGGCCGACGAGCTGCTGGGGACGGCGGAGGCGGAAGAGGTGAGAGACTCGCAGGAGGGTTTTCCTGGGTGCCCTCTGGAGCAGGGGGCGAGAGCGGGGAGAGGGAGAACGGGCTGGGAGGGGGGACACACCATCGAGGTTACATATGAAAAGAGACGCTGCAGCGTGAAGCGCCCACTCTCCCCCGCGCCCCGGCGCTCGCCTCTCCATGAGGCTGCCTGGGCGTTACGGATTGAAAGGACGTTTTGGAGCCAAGTATCTCAGCCCCCGACTCCCCCGGCCCCCCAGTGCAAGTCCCTCCACCCCACAGACCTCAGAGAGCTTCGTATCTGGCCCTTGGGCCTTTCAGGAGCGGTCTGTGAGGACAGGCGGCTCAGCCACGCCCCAGTGCAGCTGCAGACTGCACTCCCCACCAGAGAGCCGCACTGCATGGCTCTCCCCAGAACGCGGGCCCTTTGCTTCCGGCTAGACGGCCCCGCAGAGCACGTGTCAGACTGAACCCCCGTTCTCTTTCTAGGGCAGGCACAGAAAGCGATTGGCAGCGCTCGCGCCCAACCCACTCCTGGATTTGCCACTCGGGGCCAGGCTGCCTTTGCTACCCGGCTCCAGCAGGTTGTTCTATTCCACGCATTTGGGCAAACAGGTAAACCAATGGCTAACGAAAGGGGCCACTCGTCTCGTGTTCGGTCGCCCCCTCCTGCCACTCGCAGGCAGAGTGCGCCGGAGAATAGCAGGCGCTTTTAGTAGCCTCCCGCGGATAACACAGCTGCAGGCTAATCGGAAGCAACGCGCTTGAGCCAATGGCCAGTGGGAACATCAGCTGGCCTGGCAAATGGCAGTTCTCAAACCAGGCTCAATCGCTTTAGAACATCTGGGCTCCGCCAGACAGAGTCCTGCTGCGCTGGGGCCGTGTGCCAGGAGAAGATGCTGTAGGCAACAAAGCCACCGAGTCCGTTCCCGGGCATGCGGAGGAATTCCGCCGTCCTGACCCTGGAAGAGACCAGGCGGGCTCAGACCCCGGATCTCTAGGGCCTCTCTCAGTCTCTAGCCATGAGAGGTGCTGCTCCAAGGGACGCTCACCAGCGACCGTACCAGATTCCTTAGGAGAAGGGCACGGGCCATGCATGCTGGGCTCACGCTTGGATTTACAAAGGCACCCAGGGATGTGGCATCTGCTTTCCTTGGCTGTCTCTGGAGATCTCAGCTCTCTGGCATGGAGGGGCAGGCCATGGCAGAGCCCTGGAGGGGACCAGCATGGCCAAGTCTGTGTTCATGGAAAAGGCCGCCTGGGAGTGCAGACTGGAGGTGCCCTCGTCTGAGTCGCCAGCGGGGGGCTGGGATCGGCCGGGGTCACAAAGCTACCAAGGCTCAGCGGGGTTAGTCTGTGACTTGACAAACTTGGACAAGCCACCTGAGTAGCCTGCGGCACCGTCGAGACTCACGCCCAGAGCCACACGGCACCATGCGCTTTCGTGGGCGCAAGCCGCTTCCGTTCCCCTCTGTCTTCGGGCTGGGGGTGGGGACTGCACGCCTGCCCCCGCGGGGGCTTTGGCCGGGTCGCTGCCTCGCTACAGCCGTGTGTCATCGGCTCCTCGGGATTCACGCCTTCCGGAGTCGAGAGACCTTTGCAGAGTCACAGGAGCATCCTGCTGCCTTGAGACGTTCCCTCAAGCTCTCTGGACGCAGCAGCAACCTGCGGAGGGCTCTGGCCATGCCTCCCCCGGCAGTGAAAACAAGCCCGGGAGACTTTCCTTCTGGAGGACACCAGGAAAATGGCCCAAAGATTTTTCACTCTTTAAATCCGTATTGCTGCAGCGTCTGGGGAGGGGGGATCAAACCTGCCTGAGCCAGCCCGTCCGTGGCGCAGGAGCCGAGAATAAGAGAAAACGGCCCCGTGGGGAGCTGACTGGCGTGTGGCTCTATTCTCCAGGTGACTGTTGCGCGAGGACCTGTCATAGGCGCGGCATTTTCTGGGATTAATGTACACGGCAAAGTGAACCCTCCTTCAGGAACGGGTCCCTTTACTCTCCTACGTGTCTTGACATCTTACAGCTCATTGGCTTACTGTACGTCGGAGCAACAGCCACAACTGACAAGGGAAATCTGAGTTTTTCTGCCTGGAGTTTTTCAGAAGTCTGGCAATAGGTTTTTTTTTTAATTAAGGTAAAATAGTTGAATCAAGCTTAGGGTCTGGTTTTCAGACTGGGCTTCCATTTCCACAGGGGCAATCTGGCTCTTACAGTGGATGGCAACCCCAATTTGCAGCTGTCAGAAAAAGCCAGGAATACCTTGCATGTGCCGCACTCAGGCACATCCACTGCCAGGGCTAACTGTGTCCGGAGAAGCAAATTTGTACATTTTAGTCGAGCAACTAAAAATCTCAATAAATCTCTGAAATGATTCGTCTTGTTGGCACCGCAGCCAATAGAGTTACCCCAGAACTGACACGTGTCAGATTAGGACAAGCTTAACTGTCACTTTACGAGTGCCACAAGTTCAGAAATCCTGCATTCGGGTCAGATGCATCCCCAGCGGGATTGTGCTGAAACCAGGACGTACCTACCTGCCCGAACAACGCTCTCAGATGCTGGCCCAGACGTAGAAAGAACTTGGGACCATCTCTCTCTGCCTGGCCGTTGAGCTTTTCTTCATATTTTTGCAGCTCTATCAGCCTTCTAGCGGCTTCGATCTCGGGGATCCTTTCTGCCAAATAATGGCAGCGAGTCTGCACAGCCCTCCCTGGTGCTCCTACTACAAGCGCACAGACAGTCTGCGGAGAGGCAGAAGAGCCAGCGATGTCGGCAGTGAGAGTCCGGTAGGTGAAATCGCAGGGGGAGGGGTGTTCACATGCACTTGCACGCCCAGGGTGTTTCATAGCAGGCAGCCCGCACGGGGCAGGTGGCCGTGCAATAAGCCAGCGCACGGCAACCGCTTGTGACTGCGCCTCCCCGGGGCAGCACATGCTCCCTGTCCATCGCGGACTGGCCAGCTGGGTCGTGCATAGAGGCACAGAACACTAGAGCTGGCAGGGACCGCCCAAGACCTCCCAGCAGGGCCAGGCACCAGCAAGACCATCCCTGGCAGGCGTCTGTCCAGCCTGCTCTTAAGTATCTCCAGGGATGGAGATTCCACAACCCCCCAGGGCAACTTATTCCAGTGTGTCACCCCCGACAGGCAGGAAGTGTCTCCTAATGTCCAACCTCAACCTCCCCTGCTGCAGTCGAAGCCCCTTGCTGCTTGGCCTGTCTACTCCTTTTGCTGCTGGCATCTTGGGCGTGGGTCAGCAGGTGCCTCCCCTGCCACTGGCACGGGAGCGATGGGCAGTGTCCGTCTGGCTGCTTGTGCAGGGAGGGAGACGGGGTCTGCCCACACTTGTGCACACGTGCGAATAAGGCCAGGGCTGAGGCACCAGGGCAGCCTTGTCATTCAGGGCTGTGCTGCTCTCAGCGCCATTAGGCCCCTCACATTAACGGCTAATGTGCAAAGACACGTGATGGTTCCTGCCCGCTGCTCATGCAGCCACTGGACGTTCCTGGAGCTTACGCACATGCTCAGCTCCCTGGGGCTGCCGACTTCCTAAGCGCAGGGTTCAGGATGTGGGAAGGACTCAGGGCTGGGACAGGGGGTGAGATCTCTGCCCGAGGATGTGGGCTCTGGGGTGAGGGGTCAGGGTGGGATGCAGGCTCCAGGGAGGTTGTGGAATCTCCATCCCTGGAGATATTTCAGAGCAGGTTGGACACGCACCTGTCAGGGATGGGCTGGCTGGTGCTGGGTCCTGCTGTGAGGGCAGGGGACTGGACTCGATGACCTCTCGAGGTCCCTTCCAGCTCTGGGATCTATGGTAAAACGGCAGCTCCCAGAGCTCAGCCGGAGCGTCCTGTCTTGCCGTGGGAACGATCGCCTCCTGTCACTTTGCTTTGTCCAGAGCTCGTCA